CCCCCCCCCCCCGACTAAGGTGTTTACCAAGTCTGCTGTTCATCACTCAAGAGTGCAATAAAAATGACCTTGCCACGGGCGGTGATATCTCCTATAATCACAGAAGTAACATGTATATTTGGTATCCGCCAGCACAAAAGCCAACTGTGCTGTGAAAGTTGACGGTTTCATTGCGTTTCGTCAATTCGGGGTAGTGGTGCTGATCAGACAAGCTTTTCTTTAAGTGTTCAAGATGAATGCGCGTATGGATTCGTTGTGTTCGAGGAATGCAGTCTTGAGGTTGCTTCCTGGTAATGGATTTGAGCTGGTAAGCGGAGTCGTCAACAGATTGTCCACTTCCCTCTTTTGCAAATAACTAAGAGGTGCCAAAAGTGTATCAGTTTAGTTCTTACAACCATTAACCATGCACTTTCGTGCGCCGGTTTTGGTTGCCCATTGGGATAAAACAGCAGAGTGATGATTTGAATGTTGAGAGTAATGTTTTCATAGACTGAAGTTACAAGAATGAGTAGATGCATGAGCGCCGCTGTTTGCGACACCCAGCCATATCGCTCAGTGTCTCTGATCACCAGTGACCATGATCTCGGGGTTCCCATCCAGGGAGCCTAACGGGACCTAAGTAAGTGAGTCTCCTGGTCCGGGTTTTCATACCCTCATGCCAGGTCTTAATTTGACCGCCATCGATCTTTTTCCGTTCGCTGGCTGCCTCGGAAAACATCGCCCCGTGGTAACCTATCTGGTGACATCCGTAGCACTTGTCCCAACCAGCGTAATCTATGGAGGTCGACTATCTATTCCAGTGGACGACCGCGATTACCTAAAACTCTACGCTTAACCTCAGCATTGCTCGTCCGGTTTCCCCATCAAACTCGTGCAACGCTACGTAGACAGCGGTGTTTGAACTCCGACAATCTATTTTTATCCTGTTCCCGTAATGGCTAAGTCTGCGCCGCAAAGCAGAACTGGCCGAACTGCTGCAGCATATACTCGACCCTTCACAGACAACCGGATGTCGCGACAGCGCCACAGATGCCTCAAATTGGTAAATGCCAACCGAGCTTTCTGTATGCGCGCCGACACTTCATCTGTGATGCGTCCGTCAGGTGAGATGTAGCTGCTCAGGTAACAAAACTTATCTACTTTCTCTACAACTTCCCCGGTCAGGGTGAGGTTGGGGACTGGGCCAAACCTGTATATTGTTCTTCGGTTGAACATGGAACTTCTTTAATAGTGTGATGGTAAACTCGTACTCCGTATTTTCAGAGATCACGATACATGAATACATGGGGGTGGTGGTGGCGCAGTGGTTTAGTCACTGTCACCCGCGTGCTTTGGACCCTATGGTCCAAGGTTCGAGCCCCGCCACCGTCACCCGACTTAAGTGATAGGCAGCTTTGCTGTCTTCCGGTTCAATACCACGCCTAACCTAACAGTGCCTTGTGTTTCGCCACTCCAATTCCCAGGGATCAGGTTGCCGGTTTCCACCACTGAACAGCAGGTCTTCGTGACTATGCGGTTCGCTCCGTCTGCTGTACATCACACTTGGGTGTTCAATAAAAAATTGAGGAAAAAATCGTATTAATCTAGCTTCAAGGTTCCATTATCCTTGAGGTAAATTTCGAAAACAGGGAACCAATCCATGCATTTTTTCATCCAAACAATTGAATTCGAGTCGATTCTAAAACACTTCAATCGAATGACTCAGTAGTCCGTTATTGATTATGTAGGCTGTAGTTAATTTTTCTGATAATTCCTCAATTGAACGCAGGAGTGTCGAGGTATTACAAAACATTTGTTTAGTTTATTTTCTGCCATACAAATTCCTTTACCCTTCCTTCCGACCCGTCGTATCTTCATTAGAACTAGACTGGTTGCCAGATAGCGTTGTAGAAGACGAACCACCGAGTGAATTGTGGTTCTGGAAATTTATCAACCACCGAATCCGTCAGTCTTCAACTCGAGCGCTCCAGAAATTGGGTCGACAAACATGTCTTTCGTACAAAATAGATTGCAGCAATTGATGCCCACTGCTTATCGGAGTCAGTTGCACCGGTATTTTTCGCGTATCAGGAGGCCAGCACAAGTAGGTTTTGCACCGAACAACAGTCATCAACTCACTTGTTGACTGGGTTTCCACCAACATTAGTCTGTATTGATGTAGTTAGTGTTCAGAAGGGAAATAACACAGTGTTTATCCATAGTATCTGCATATGTGCCGACCAACTGCGGTCCCAATGCACCAAAGGACAGGTTCTTCGACAACTTGACAAAACTCATTCGGCTGAGTTGCAGCTCCCTTATAATGTGCATGCTAGATAATTTCAGTGCACAAGTTAGGAAATCTAGTGCATCAAATGCCTGCCTTAATGAAGGAACACTTTGTTAAGCCCGCTCAGTAAATAGATAACGCGATCAACTTTTTCAGTTCGGTGCGAATCACCTGCTTTTCTTGTATATCAATTTCCAACATAGCTGTCGACGCACGGTAACGTGGCACTGTCGTTTTACGAATAAGATAACCAAAGTGGCCCATATTGCAGGTTCAGTTTTTGCAAGCATTAACCATGCAATTTCGTGCGCCGGTTTTGGTTGCCTTCTTTTGGTGCCCCATTTGGATAAAAGAGAAGAATGAAGATTAATATGTTTAAAGAAAATTCAAGCGGAAGATAGAGAAGTCATGTAGACTGGTATTAAGATAAAAAGGAGCAGATGCACGATCGCCACTGGTGGCGACACCCAACCATGTCGCTCCATGTCTCTAACCATCGGTGACCGTGATCTCGTAGTCCCCATCCAGGGGGCTTAACGGGACCTATGTGACCCAGTCTCTTGATTAGGGTTTTCATACCTTCATGGTCACTCACTAATGCAGTCTCCCGTAACTTCTGTTCCCACCCATTGTTAAACCATCCGGTGACTTAGCATCCGACCCGTTGTAAAAAGCACAAGATTTTGCTTCCCATTCTACCCTTTTCGAATCACCCATTCAACCCTGCACACACCCTACGGCAAGCCATCTTTTCACACTGCTCATTTCCACCAGAAAAATACATCAGATCCTCTTGTCATTGGACCCACACAAGCCACCTGGACCCGACGGGATTCCTCCCATTGTCCTCAAAATGTGCGTCCCAGAACTGGCTCCCCTCCTGCGTCGCTTATTCCGCCTATCTCTAAATTCCGAGATATTCCCAACCCCATGGAAAATATCAGAAATATTTTCAATCCTCAAACGCGGCCACCACTCTGACCCAAACAACTACCGCCCCATCTCTCACACCAGTCATTTCGAAGGTTATCGAATCAGTTGTTGCTGATCAACTCCACCACCACCTGGAGCAGAACAATATGCTTAGCGACCGCCAGTACGGTTTTTGATCACATCGATCTATCGGTGATCTTCTGGCGCTCATTCCGCATACATGATCAGCGGCACTCGACAACCACGGGAAAACCCATGCGGCGTCATTGGATATATCGAAAGCTTTCGATCGTATCTGGCACGCTGGTTTGTTGGTTAAACTACCTAAGTTTGGCTTTCCTTCGGAACTTGTGTCCTGGACAGCAAGCTACCTCAAGGACCACAGCATCTCCGTTAGGATAGATGGGACCATGTCTCTTTCCGTGTCTGGGAGTGCTGGTGTTCCCCAAGGTTCTGTATTTTCTCCTTCCCTTTTCTGCTATTTATTGATGATCTTTCTTCAACTTCCAATCCTATTCACGCCTTTGTCGATGACGCTACTCTACACTCTTCTCTGTCATATTGCTCTTCACGCATCGCTAACCCCAGCATTAGTGACGACCGCTCCTCTCTTAGTTTCTCCCTAAATTTTGATCTGGGTTTTATCTCTGCGTGGGGCTGTAACAACCGTGTTCTGTTCAATGCCAGTAAAACTTCTCTCATGTCCATTTTTCTTAAACACACATCTTTTTCCCCTTCCTTGAATTTCATCTTGAACACTCCGTTCCACAGAATCATGCAACCTATTGGGTCTTTCCTTATCTTCTTCTCTTTCATGGTCACCTTATA